ACCCAGCTGGGTCGCTTTACTTGCCAGGGGTGAGGGCCCCCTGGGGAGCCTCTTGGAGCTCCTTGAACTCTCCAGATAAGGGACTTTGCAGCTGCCTGGCGCACGCAGTTCAAAATACACTGTGGGGCTGAATGCTCCCCCCGTGCCACCTGGCAGCCAAGATAATAGCTGGCAGGTGCTGGGAGCGGGGACGGACTCCGTAGCTTCTGCTCTGCGAGGAGCTTGTGTGGTGGCTGCGAGTGCCGCAAGCCTGAAGGCAGAGCGGATCTAGAGCTGCCTCTCCTTTTGCCAGTGGAGGAGTGGAGGGAGCAAAGTGAAGTGGGCTCAGGGTCAGAAACGGTGCCCAGGGCTGGGATGCTTTCTGGGGAGGTGCTGAGGAGGCATAGCTGCTGCTCACGGTGTGGAAACCTCTGTAGGGTGAGGGTACTGCACGGGCTGCCTTGCAGGAGGTTTTTTCTGCCTGCCAAGGCCTGGCGACGCAGAGGGGTTTGTCTGCATGCAGCAAGGCAAGGAGGGAGGCAGAAATGCCCCCATCCCGCTGCCTCATCAAGCCCCCTCCTCAGGACGCAGGCAGGAGCAGCACCAGGGGGAGCAGATGGTGCAGCAAGCCTGTTTGCAGAGAGGCAGGGCTTGGAAAGGAGAAGAACAAGAATAATAGGAAGTGCTATCAGCTCTCTGATGGAAACTGCTCGCAAAGCACATCAGGGGTACAAAGCCTGCCACAGTCCATTGGAGGGGCGGGGGATCGGACGAAAAGAGGCCATAGCAGAAAAGCCAGATGGAGCTTTTGCCTCTGTGTCCACCTGAGCAGTTTTTTCCACCTTCTTTTGGGGGGCTCCTCAGAGCATCTGCAGAAGAAAGGTTAGAAAGCAAAGCTAAACAGCAACAAGTCCCTAGGGCAAGGCAATGTCCACCAAAACGAAAGAGAGGGTGAACTAGCTGGCTGTCACATGTGGCCTCTAGTCATTCATTCACAACTGCCCCGGCCCCCGGGGACTGGGAGGGGAGAAAGATGTGACGTTCATTTCTAAGAAGGGCTGGAGGGAACTTCAGGGAAAAGCTGACGGCTGAATCTGCTGCGTGTCCCAGGCATCTGCACAAGGATGGGGTCCATGGGCAGGTGGGGAGGCTCCTCCCGAGGGGCCCCCAAGCTGGTGCAATGCTTCCTTCGTAGGGACTCTGGGCTCACAGTGCCCACGCTGCTTCCCAGAAAACATTCAGCCAGGGCTTTCAGCCCAGGTTTTAAGGGAACTGGCTGGTCAAGAGGGAAGGTCCTCGCATGGCTCTGTAATTGGTACGAAAACAGGAAGGAGGGTGTAGGAGTCAGCAGTCAATTTTTGTGGTGGAAAGAGATTGCTGCATTGGGTCCCATGTTTTTTCAACGCATTTGTGAGTGACCTGGAAAAGGGACTGCACAATGAGATGACAAGGCTTGCTGAACTGATTGGATTACTCAGGTTCTCAGGGACAAGTGCCAGCTAGGAGGGGTACAGACGACCATTACAACACCAGGTGGTAGGCAGACGAAATTGGGTTTAGATAAATATCAAGTGATAGACGAGTTTGGGGAGGAAGCCCCAAATCTGTGAACAAGATTACACACTGAGCTGGCCACTCACAGCAAGGCCTGGGGTTGTTTCGGATACCTTGGTGTGCATAAAAACACATCAGATCGTCTCTGTGAGTGACAAAGCAGAAACAAAGCAGGAAAGCCACGTGCTGCTCTTCAAATTGACTGCTCACCCCCTTGCAGTCCCTGTGTGCACCCAGCCCCAGCATCTCTGGGGCTGAGGGGAGCCCGGGAAGGTTGGGAGGAAAGCAAAGGAGGATTGAAGGCGTGGAGCTGTGCCTGGATGACTAAGCGAGCTAGAATTTCTCTGTTTGGAAAATGTGCTGTAGGGTGGATACAATCCAGGCCTGTAAAGCTGTGGCTGGCACAGCGAAGCCACTCCCATGTTCATCCACTCTTTGACAGCGAGGGAGCCCCGGCCGAGGCCCTGCATGCGGGGAGAGATGCTGCCCTTGCTCAGAGGCTCCCAAATTAGAGGAGGAAGCAGGGATTTCACAGAAGCGAAACCCGTCATGGCCTACAAAACACATGCACAGCATATCCCTCCCAGCTTGGAGGCTGGGGGAGCAGTCGGGGAGTTAGTCTATGCCTGTGCCACTCTTACCCTTTCTTGGCATCTGCTTTTGTCCTCTGATGGAGAGAAGCTTTTGAGCCAGACCGGCTTCTGATTTGACCCAGGGTACCTGCCGCTATTTTGGGAGGGCTTGCGTTTGTCCCAGCACCGCGGTGATGGTGCACAATTGTGCACACTCATACGTCTTGTGAAATACAAGCCCGTGTCCTCGCAGCTGGTGGCTGAAGGTGGAAGAGGGCAGGACGCTGCCCAGGAGGCTGGTTACCTGGCACAAGGTAGGAGGACGCGTGAGCGGCGTGGCTAGAGTTCAGGCACGCACATGAAATCTCACGAAACAGGTGGTCTCGGAGCGTTTCCCGTCCTCCAGCTGAGTCAGGGCCATCAGGGCTTCATGTGAGTCGCACACTGTGCTGGGCTTGTTCCCTGCCTGCAGGTAAACCTCGATGGGCCCCCAGATCAGCCTTCCTGCTGGGAGGGCTCTGGTGTTGCCCAGGGGGGGCGAGCGGAGGTAGGGGATGGGGTGAAGCCTGGTGAGGCACCTGGCCCTGCCCTGTCTCGGCCACGCTCGGAGGAAGTGCAGACCTTATCCCTGCAAAGTCATCCCTTACAAGTGGTGGCAGGAGGATGCGGGGTGCTCACCACTGGGCCCGCTGGCAGCCCCTTGTCTAGGGACTGCAAGGACAGTGCTACGGCTTGGTGTGGCGTAAAGGGCTTTTCTTTAAAGAGCTGGTGTTTCTGGGTATAAACCCATAGCGTGCCTACCCGGCACCATGAAATTGCCCTTGAGTGTAAAGCCAAGCATGCGCTGTGCTCACCTTTGGTGAAGGCAGCAGAATTAGGAGAAAAGGCAATGTGTGGGAAGGGAGAGGTAGGGAGATCTCTGAAGCCCAGTGACAAATGGCTGCGTGCAGGCGTGGCTGTCCTGCGGTGCAAGTTTTTCTGTGGAGGTTAGGCTTTTTTGGTGACGGCTGGCCCTGCTGTGGGCTCCCAGGGCTTGGCTGGCAATGTGCGTGGCCCAATACCGCAGGTGTCGCTTCACCTCTGTCAAGGCCTTTGTGCGGCGTGAATGGGCAATTAAAATTGTGCCATCTCTTGTTTGTACCTGCTCAGAGGTGCTAGCCTGTAGTTTGTCAAGCCCACTCCTTGTTATCTTGCTCCTTCCACTTACACATCGCTTCCGAGGGGATGAGACAGACCGCTCTACGCCCAGGAACAAAATGGATGTCCTTACGCCAAGGCCCCGCATCGCTCCTCCTTTCCCCTGTCCCCGAGGCTGTGCAGCTGCCGAGCTGGTGGCCAGGCTAAACATCTGGAGACTCCTCCTGGAGGTGGCTGGAGCTGTGCTGTGCCAGCCCGGGGGCTGGCGGTCCCTTACAGTAGGGTAGGGCTGCTCTCGATGGGTGGGAGCAGGGTTGCCACCTGTTGCTGGTGTTGGTTTGTGTGGCCTTTCTGTTTGTTGTAAGGTTGTTTGTAAGAGCCGGCGGCTGGACGCGTTTCCTGCCATAATGAGGGACCCGTGTGCCCCTTGGCAGGCACCGGCTCTTTGTGGAAAAAATTAGGAGGCACTTAGCGAAGTGAGACAGAAAACAAACAGAGCAGGCAGGAGGCTGCGGCTGGGTCGGCCACAAGCACCAGGAGCGGAGGGAGGGGCACGAG